CCGTATGATGCTCGACTGGCTAAACTCAGCCTATTTCCATTGTCATATAGAAAAACAAGAGGTGACTTTATCAGCTTTACATTACTTAATGAATTTGCATTTGATATATCTTCACTCTTCATTTCCTACAAAACAGGCTAAAAAAATTCACAAGCACGGAACAAATTGCTTGTTAGCTGAAAATCTACTTTCCCATAGAATCGCCAACGAATGTAATTCATGAATTTGTAGCGTGGTGTCGAGTTGAGCTTGACTATGAACACCGCTACAAGACTACGTGCCAATTAACCAATAAGATCCCCGTAGGTCAAAATATCAGAAGGCAGATGATTGTAGTAGTCGTATATATTTGTTGGCGATCTCGTGGTATCGAAAGAATACCGAGATCGTGCCAAAGGAATACAAGCGTGGTTACTGAGCGTAACCGGATTCGTACAAGTTCGAAGTCAACGGGAGAGTAAGTATAATGGCTGTCATTAGCACAGTTAAACAAACGAGCACAATAAAACAATCACTGGTACAATTGGTTATAATAATAATTGTTTTCATCGAACCAATCGCGTTCCGTTGACAAAAGTAGGTCACTACAGGAGCCCCCCGCTAGAAAGGGTTTACACTTTCGATAGTTAGCGGTTTGATTCGTGGGACTGATCGGCAGAATTGCGGTTGTAGGACGGAGGAAATTGGCGGAACAGGAAGTGATCATTGATCCTCGAGTTGCCAACGAAAGTCTTTTGCGCAGAACGGTACCAGAAGTGTGCTGAATTTGTTGGTCGAATTAGCATACCACACCAGAGTGGTTTGTATCCAGGATCTGATAATTGCGTTCGTTGGGATGTGGACCAGAAAACGCTGCAGACGTAGGACGAAACCACGTTGAGCCAAGAAACCGGACGCGACCATAACTACCAAGCATATGCCAGGCGGATTCGAGACCAGATAATCGACTGAGTGCGTTGACTAGAGCGTGGGTGGCCAAACCAGCTTTCGCCAAAGTTGACTGAAGTCGACGTTATCAAATGGACGATGGTCGGAGGCGTGGGCTCAGGATACAGAAAAAAAATCAAAAAAAAGAAAAGTGTAGCATGCGTGTAGTATAGGAATAATCCTACACCGTATCCGTTATTGACTGCGTTTAGTCGCGAAAGCGTACGGGTAATCGTACTCGGCGACCGGAGCGTGAGACAGTGGTCTCGTTCGTACTTCGTGAGCCTGCGATCTCATCCGAGGTCAAGGGCGGCGTGGTCTGCCGATCTGGACGTGAGACGGAAGTCTCGTCCGTAGATGGTGCAGATGACGCGTGCTGTTGACCGGGACGTGAGAACGAGGTCTCTGATGTATCTAGCGTGGGATCCGAGGTAGACGTAGAGATCTTGCTGGAAGGTTTGGTAGGTCTAGCATTGAGTCTCAAGTTATTGGGTAGGGCACTGTCATCGACGTGTGCTGGTTTGAGACGATCAATGCTGACGATCTCGACGCGGCCGTGTCGATCAACCTTGAAGGTCTTTTCGTGACGAGAGATCACGTGAAAAGGGCCTTCGTAAGGCTGTTGTAGAGGTTTGCGTACCGAATCTACTCGTATGAAAACATGTGAACAGGTAGATAACTCTCGAGGGAGAGCGACCTGTCGATGTTGTATTCGAGTTGACACCGGAGACAGCGTTCGCATAAATGCAGACAGTCGATGGACGTAGTCTGATTTACCGAAATCATTACTGCTCCGTGGTGTGAAGAATTCCCCAGGCAGACGCAATGTAGTGCCGTATACAAGTTCAGCGGCGGAACATTGGATATCTGCCTTCAAACTCGTTCTGATGCCTAAGAGAACGAGCGGTAAGGTTTCGTACCAATTGTCGTTTTCGTGTGCTCGGAGAGCACTTTTAAGTTGGCGGTGAAACCTTTCGACTAAACCATTCGATGCTGGATGGTAGGCGGTGGTGCGTATGCGTTCCGTACCAAGCAGCCGGGTCAGTGAGGAGAATAATGCGGACTCAAATTGTTGTCCTCGGTCAGTCGTGACAGTCGAGGGACAACCGTAAAATGCTATCCATCGTTCTACGAAGCGGTGAGCAACTGTCTCCGCCGTGATAGACGTGATGGGGATAGCTTTGGGCCATCTTGTAAAACGGTCAATGCACGTGAGTATGTGATCATACCCATGCGATGGTGGCAATGGTCCTACAATGTCTATATGAACGTGATCAAAGCGAGCATCAGGCGTAGCGAACGTGCCAATGGGGGCAGCTACGTGCCTGTGCACTTTTGATCGTTGACACTGTAAGCATTGCTTTACCCACATACGAACATCTTTATTCATGGACGGCCAGACGTATCGTGCAGCGATGAGACGTAATGTGGCTGCGATACCTGGATGAGACAATCCATGAAGGGCATCGAAGACGAGACGGCGATAAGTAGAGGGTACGATGGGTCGAGGTAGACCGGTAGAAATATCACATAGGATAGTACCTGAGCTAGTAGCTAGGGGTACTTCCTGGCACTGAAGGGATGAAGATTGTGGTGCCTCTGTACAGACAGGATCGTTTGCTTGTGCGGCGGCCATAGCAGGAAGATCGAGCACCGGTAAAGTAACTGCATTCGTCTGGATACGTGAAAGAGCATCAGCAACATAGTTCGACTCGCCTTTAATGTGACGAAGGTCTGTCGTGAACTGTGAGATATAGTCCAAATGTCTGCACTCTCGTGGTGAGTAGCGGTCAGACTTGGTATGCAGGGCATACGTTAAGGGCTTATGGTCGGTGAATAAGATGAATTGACGTCCTTCTACTGCGTGCCGGAAATGTTTGATGGCGCAGTAGGCTGCAAGCAGTTCGCGACCAAAAGCGCTATATCTCGTCTCCGTGGGAGTAAGGCGTCGTGAGAAAACTTCAAGCGGTTGCCAACTACCGGAGATATTCTGTTGCATAACGGCTCCTATGGCAAAATCCGATGCATCAACCGCTATACTAAGCGTGGCTGATGGGTCAGGATGAGCGAGAAGTGTAACTTCAGCGAGAGCCGTTTTGATCTCTGAGAATGCAGTACGTGCGGTATCGTTCAGTTCTAATTTGCGTGGATTACCGCGTAGTAAATCGGTTAATGGTCGTAACCGTTCTGCCGCGTGAGGGATAAAACGTCGGTAGAAGTTAACCAAACCGAGAAAAGCCTTCAGTTCCTTGAGTGAGGACGGCACGTTGTACTCCTTGATTGCTCGAATTTTGTCCTCGCAAGGCAGAATACCCTCTTGTCTGATGATGTGACCCAGAAATATTATTTCTGATTTACCCAATTCGCATTTCTCTGGGTTGACTACTATTCCATTATCCGAAAGACGTTGGAATAATAGCGTAAGGTGTTGATAATGTTCATCTACGTTTGATGATGCGATCAGCAGGTCATCAATATAGACGTGAACAAAATCCAAGTCTCGTACTATGCCATCGATAAACCTTTGAAAAGTTTGAGCAGCATTCCGTAATCCAAATGGCATTCGTAGGAACTCAAACAGACCGAAAGGAGTCGTGATAGCAGTTTTCTCGATGTCTTCAAGAGCGACTGGGATCTGGTGATATGCTCGTACCAGATCGACTTTAGAAAAGATAGTCGTGCCCTTGAGCGATGCCGTGATGTCGTGTATGTGGGGGATGGGGTAGCTATCAAAGCACGTAACTACGTTTAATGCTCGGTAGTCGCCGCATGGTCTCCAACTAACCCCATCCTTTTTGCGCACCATATGTAAAGGAGAGGCCCAAGGACTGTGAGAAGGACGAATAATACCAGAAGATAGTAAATTGTCAAACTCACGTTTAGCGAAGGCTAATTTGTCCGGTGCCAGTCGGCGTGGTCTTGCCGTGACTGGTGGTCCGCGGGTGACTATGTGGTGTACCACACGATTGGTCACCGATGAAATCTCCTCGAATGGTTTAGTTAATCTGGGGAATTTCTCGAATAAGGCGTGGAATTTATCGTCACGCGAATAAAAAGTGCCGAGGATTCGGTACGCGTACATCGGAGTCTGTTATATTAATACTATTCTTATCGTTATCCGTCATGTCAAATATATATATTAAAAATTAATATGAAAATATATGACAGACGTGGATAGATAAAACAATAGACTCACCGAATTGCCTTCTTTGAAAGATTTGACCGAGGTTGAGGCGTGTTCCAATAGTTGGGTCACCAAATGTAGCGTGGTGTCGAGTTGAGCTTGACTATGAACACCGCTACAAGACTACGTGCCAATTAACCAATAAGATCCCCGTAGGTCAAAATATCAGAAGGCAGATGATTGTAGTAGTCGTATATATTTGTTGGCGATCTCGTGGTATCGAAAGAATACCGAGATCGTGCCAAAGGAGTACAAGCGTGGTTACTGAGAGTAACCGGATTCGTACAAGTTCGAAGTCAACGGGAGAGTAAGTATAATGGCTGTCATTAGCACAGTTAAACAAACGAGCACAATAAAACAATCACTGGTACAATTGGTTATAATAATAATTGTTTTCATCGAACCAATCGCGTTCCATTGACAAAAGTAGGTCACTACAAATTCAACACGTGATTGAAGCCCTAACGGTCGACGCCTTTAAAAGAAAGTTGAATCAACTGAGAAACAACCGTTGTCGGAACTAATGCAAACAACCCTTTCCAAAATAAAACCTAAATATTTCATGAACTGAAACTTGGCAAATAGCGCCAGACATTTCCTTGCTAACGTAAATAAGCAGTCCATAGAATTGCATGTCATTTTATTTGATGATATTACATTGTGTTGAGAGTGCCATATGATTTTCAACGAAGCTAGTATAAATACAGCATTACAATGAACAATTACTCAAAAACAGACGTAATGTTTGCACTAAAAATAGACAGCACACTGGAAGTAAATTTAAACAACCATTCTTCTGTATTTTTAAATGTCAATAGACTACTTGATTATACGGATACTACGAATTCATGTAAGCTAACACATTCAAACAATAGAGAGACTTTCAAATATGGAATACTCGTCTTGAACACCCCCACTCAAGGTCGTGGAGGCAGTTTCGACGAATCTTTAACTACTTGTTTCGGTTATCATATTATCTTAGCCTGATGTTCGTATTGGTTAATTGCTTACTCTATGTTCCTTCTAAGCCTTCGGCTCACTTTTTCTCTTGTGCTATTCTCCCAAAGAAACCCACTTACTGTTACGAACACTTCCCTGATAAACAAGGTACCTTCAGTCTAGACGCGAACCTACCAAAGACTGAGTGCTACATAAGATTTTCACCCGTCCCGTCGTTTGACTCGGTTGCGGTTAGGTTAATCGAAACATGGGGCTGTGATCTACACTGGAGGTTCTATTTATCAATGATCCCATGGGGAATTCGGCTGGGAAGTAATTTGTTATGACTTGTGAGACTTGATTGTCCTAATAAATTCTTCCAAAAGTCACCTAGTTACTCGATTTGAGTTACAGACAGGTTGAAACATTTGCAGATTTTCGACAAAAAGTGTGGGTTCTTTCAGCACATTAGGATGCATTTCACAAGCTCCCGTGGTGAGACTATAATTTATGGACGACCTTTGAGCGACGCTAGACTGACCTTTATAGTATCCACCTAATATCTAGGACCAACTGAGGGTTATAAACCTGTCTGAAGAATTAGAATTGTGTTTTCGAGTTGATGATTAAGGTTATGAATTATATTCAGGGTTCTCATCACGAACTAACAACAGGTATAATGCCAAAACTCTATTTAACCAAATGGATGAGTGAATTTCGCGTCCAAATCCGAGACCTGTTATCCCATACCTCATTCGTTCATAAATTGTCGTCTAGCCGATTCCATACATTGCCAGTTTACCGTCCAATCTATGTATAAAAACAGACATTTTTGGCGCTATAAAGTCATTAATAAATAGTGCCTCATACTCTTCCATAGGATTTCTTAAGTTTTGTTAACTTTTGTGTATAAATTCTCAGGCCGTTTTCAAGGACTTCCGGTTCAAGCTTCCAACCTGTTGAGCGCACACGTGAGTCGACGCACGGATAAGTCATACTCTCAGTCAGTCAGACATACTCTAGGAGTTATCTATTTCACAAGTAAATAACTATCATTCCATCATCCAGTTACACTGAAGGTGATCTTTAATCAAAGTTAGTGTGTGATTTCTCACCTAGTCTGTGGGTTGTCTGAAGCTTTGGATACAACTGGTGCTGAATTTTGCTTATTAGCTATGCTTCATATTAGCTTTCTTCTGTTTTCTGCCGTTTAGACCGTCTACTTTTGGCCGCAAGGTCGCATACTTTGGTCCTTGGCCGAATACCTAATAACATAAGCTGACAATACACCTTCAAATGCTTTCTAAAACACTTTTGAAGAGTTATCATAGTACGTTAGTTTTTTATATACCTTGCTAAAAATTTTTGTTACCAGTGCGTATTTTTATTTCGAAAGTTTATTTCCCGTTCTTAAAGGCGGTTATTATTACTCATTAGTTTGTTCGGCTGACAGGTGTAAAGTCCAATTTTGAGCCTAAGATCTGTATACATTTCCTATCTTTTCGTATGTTTGTCGTGTCCCAACAGCTGTCGTAAACATAATATCCAAACATAATGTACACGGTTGTAGTTCACTGGGATCTGCGAGAATCCGCAAAATTCACAGAACTTTAAAATCACACCCTAAATTCATAGAAAGATGAAATGAATGGTAGACATCGCTGCGATGATCTTTAAGTGTATGGATAGCTTTGGTCTTATGCTGTCTGAAACTTCTTGAGTTCACTAAGACAGTCACTTTGTTTGGGACTTGATATTTGAATCTCAAAATCCTTTTATGGAAAGTAATGTAAACTGTATTGAAAATAATTGTATAAATACCACAAATTTACCTAGAACATTCGTAGTTCAAATAAACGATTTCGCAGTAGTTTACTTAAAATTAAACTCCAAAACGCTCGAATGTATTTTCTCAGAAATTATCATCATTCCCGATATGTGATAACTCTGATATCACATCATTACACTCTTAAACTCCAGTGTAGAACTGTTACTACTAACCTAATCTTTTTAAGATATTCAGACTTTCTTGATATTTATAAACTTTTTACTTTGTATATTGGTTGAAATCAACCAAAAAATGTTTTGATGTTGAACCTCGTGGAATTTCATCATATTATTTTTTGAGAAACGTTGTGTTTCACCATGCGATATTTTATTTTTATTTTAACACATAGATATCGGTACAAGAAGGCACCAAATACATATGCGCCAAACAAATCTCAATTGATTTGTGTGAGGGCTGTGATACTGCCCGGGTGCCCAAACCGAAGCAGGTGGTTTTCTTAGGGGGCCATACCCCGAGCCTTTGACCTGAAGATCTGATCCACAAGGCAGTGGAGCATCGTGAGGAGATGCAGTCCCATGGTAGCCGGTGACCAACGATTGATTCATACGCCATTTGTTCCCGCAGGATACTGGAACCCATGTGCACCATTGGTTTGGGATCCGGTTATAGCGCCGGACGTTCGCTTCTCGTCCTCTCATTTTCGTAAACAACACCCCCGCCACGTGAAGGCAGTGAGTAGGACTTCCCTGGCAGAGGCTTTATACGCGTGGCCGTGTGAGAGAATTTCGAGAGGGAGGGCGAACACACCCCACTCTCGGCCGTACCAGGGCATTTGGGGGCTTGCTCAACTACGTCCACGGGTCGGCCTTGTATTGCATTATCATATATATGATGTCAGTAAGCAAAAACCAAACTGTATTTGGTGCACGTGGTTTCAGAAAAACTGCTTCAGTACTCGTATTCGTTCGTAACATACAATTTTCAACCAGGCAGTGACTCGAGAACGTTTAGATAGAGCCGAACTTCCACCATAGGCGAGCTGCTGTCTAAGTCGAAAAAGATACATAGAGTGGGGATAAGAGAGAGTTAATAAATGACGTAGTAAATAATAATAATAGTGCGAGTCATTTCATTGTTAATCGGAGCGAAAGGAATATTTACATAAGTAAATAGTTCACCATGTTTTAATGTGTGGGTTGAGATACTGCCCGGGTGCCCAGACCGAAGCAGGTGGTTTTCTTAGGGGACCACACCCCTAGTCTTTGACCTAAAGGTCTAGTCCACAATCCGATATAAGCGAAACCTATGTATAAGAAGTGGTAGCTCACTGACCATAGCTTATTAAAAGACATACTATAAGTTTTCTGGAGTTATCAACACGAAATTGTCACTTCCTAGTTTCTTTTTTGTTGAAATTTAAACTGAGCTACTTCTGGCGATGTGCTGTTCTTGTCCATTTATTTTTGTTCATTTATTTGTTTGTGGTTAAATCTCCCTTCCCCTGTATTTCACAACTTTACTTGATTATTTGTTACGCATGCTTACGTTGTTGCCCAGTTGCCTCGATATCTATATCCTTACCTATTTAAGTCTGTTACTCCTCATGGAGCACAGGTCGATTACCAACAATCAAACCAACTCTGTACTTAGCTCTTTGGAACGACTGTTATCAGGTGCTACTCGTGGTCTTGACGTCCATCTCCATACTTCGGCGACATGTTCTTTAATCTACCCCCTTTCTTTCGCCTTAGAGATTTCAAGTTAGTGCTTGCTTTATGATGCAGTTTAATAATTTTCGTAAAGTACGTCTGTTATAATTCTCTCTTATGGTTATAACCCAGCTATTCCTGTTGCTTAGTATTCTCGGACACCAATTCACTCGATAAGTCCCCAAATCAGAACACGGTTGAACAGGAAAGCGATTATATTCCAAATAACAAGGTTAAATGGAAGTAAGAAACACAATAGGAAAAACGTTAGTATATTTATAGTTTTTTACGTGAGAATATTTCTAGAGTATTCTCCAAGTATCGACAGGCGCTGATTGTGCAAGAATTAGCCAATCAGCGTGCACCAAAGTAATCGTGCATTGAGCATGCTTTAATCCAATCTATGTCCCGCTAACAACGTCCTGTTCACCTCTCGCGTCTTTCTCTAGTTTCCTCAATTGAAAGTTCGTTTCTATCCCGGGAGTGTAGGTTATTACTGATGATCTTTGACTAATGGGTCTGAAGTATCTTATGTAAACAGTTGTTCGCAAATACCTTTAATATTTTGGTTGTGATGATGGTAGTTCTTCTAGTTTTAGATTCATACAGTCGAACTATTTTGACGTCATTGTTGAGAATCCTAACTTCAGTTTTGAGTAACAGTTGTTTAGAGTTCTAGATATTCCTTGGTTGTAACACTGCTTTTTTAATTCGTGCCTTGACATCATCAAATCCTCCTTGTTCAAATCACCCATCTGTGTTTAAGGCGTGATTTTTCTGAGATTTGGAGGTGTTCATAATACAGTCGCCAGCTGTCGGGAGAAAAGTTGAGAGTAGGAAGACTTGTTTGACACCAGTACTCACTTGGAATGAATTTGTGATCTGTATTTCATACGTGAGTTCGCAGTGTAGCCCCTCGTTTTGTACGATGCTGACAATCTTTTCGTGTACTTCATATTGTCATCTATAGGAAGGCCTATGTTTGGTGCTAGGATGTCCAATGGATTCAGCAGTATTGGTTCATTTTTAAGCTCTTCAAAGTGCTCTACCCTCCTGTCCCGTTGCTCTTGACCCCTAATAGTTGATTCTTCTTGTTCCCCTATTTTTCGATGTGGTCTGCTATATTTTCCTGTTGGTTGTATCATGTAGTTCTTTTATATCTTTTTACCTCGCAGATTAACTGGCCTCTCTCTATCCCTGTTTCTCTTCTACAGTCTGTCACCCCATACCTTCATACCTTATGTTGTCCATCCCGACCCTGGCGTATGGAACCCCTATCAAAATATTCAGGTGATTTCTTGGGCATTTCTGTAGTGTAGGCTGCAGCCTTTCATAAAACTGATTCTCACTTCTTTTATTGATACATGCGTAACACTGCATGACATCTGTTGTAATCTTTTATTTTGTTTCGAAGGATGGTTTGATTATCCGACGGGCGTGAGTATCTCATTCTATAGGTGCTTTCCGTGCTTCTTTAGACTGTGTCAGTGCAACTCCATTTGTACTAGGCGTTTTCTCCTTGATGTCCAAAATATAATGACAGCTCTTTTCTGCTCATATTTTTTCAAATGTGTTTCACTTATTCTAAACACAAGTTATATTTTCTCATTCCCGCTGCTATCCTAATGACCCTCTCAGACGCTCATCATTCGGACATTCCGCGTACGTCTATTGATTGTTTCCTCGTCTATCAGAAGGAAAATTTGGCTACTGACTTCCAAAAAATCTAGGCTTTCAAAATAAGACACCATAACTTTTATGTGAAAGCCCCTCAACTCCCAGGGTAGAGTTTAAATGTATTTTCGGGTGGAGCCTGTTTAGCGAGGTTTTTTCACTAGTTGGGTTTGCCATTCTGTTTTCCAAACCTCCCTGTACCTGAGTTTCTAATCGGCAATAGTCTTAGGTGGGTTCCGGAGTACTTATTCATGTGTTAAATAATTAAATAAAAGTGAGACCTGGAAACTCAAAATTATGCCATTTTACTGATTTCAAACGTGTCTTCCCCCCCCCCGCCTCTAAGCAGGAATAAAAATTCATTCCCAACAATCGAAAACAAATCATTTTAACTGGTGTGGTTCCTAAGACATACTTAAGATACTCGTTGCCACCTAAATAAAACTTGTGAAACAAGCAGGTCACGGGTATGAGGGTCTGTACACTGACTAAGTCTATCGTCAGTTTTTAAGATGCGGCTCAATTTACGGTATTCAGGGTTGTCTGTCTGTATTAGATCCTGTCCTATACGTACCTAGAAGTGACATTTTCCTCGTATAACTTTCCAGCAATTGCTGTCTCACTTGATGATACTCAGTGAACGAAGTACACAAACAACATAGTTCTGTTTGGCGAAGACGCTAGCAGAATGCAGTCTTTTGAATGCTTTCAACAAATGTGTGACAATCCATGTGACGTACAGAATGTTTCTCTAGAAGTCGTGCATATCAACCCCTAATCTGAGCAAATCGAGCGAAAGAGCTGAACACCTGAACGACTTCACTTATTAGCCCTAATGGATGGCGAAATGCCGTCCAAATGTCTCTCTGGATTTCGCTAATATCTGTTACGTAAGATTTCGGTCTGCTTACAAAATGGCAAGTATACTATACATAGACACTTCCTTGCGATTGATTGCTATCAAGCATGGGATAGATAGAAGACGTGCGTAGATCAGTAGTATCTAACCAAGGACTTCTCCAAAGCATTGTTGGTGCATGGTGCAATAATCTAATTAGTAGTACTGGGGTTAGACATAGTTTACTAAGGAAGTGTAGACTGGTTCTTCATTGAGTGAAATAGTTACATGTACCCGTTTTTTGTATTTCAATATTTCCCAGTTATAGAGTGTTAATCATTTCGTTGTTCTTACCCAGAGTGTTGGGAGGCATATTTTAATACATTATTGCGGTTTTAGAAACACTTTTGTTCCTCAAGAAAAATATAACTACAAATGGATCTGAGAAAATCAAACAAAGCAACTACTCACATTCCAGTTATTCCGAGAATCCTTTAAGTTGTCCTGATTATTTTGGTCTTAAAAACTTGGTTAATGTTACGGATTTATTCCAAGCTCGTGTTCATTTGGGTCACCGATCGGCGTTACGCAATGAATACATGAAGCCATATATTTACGGTTGTAGACAAGGTGTAGACATAATTGATCTACAACAGACATGTTCCTTGATGTTTGATGCACTTAATTTCGCGGCTCACATTGCCTATCGTCAAGGAATAATACTCTTTATGTACCAGAATAAACAAGTAAGTAGATCAATTCATCTTTTGCAACTGAAGTTTTAGTTACTAACTGAAAAAACTTACCGTTAAGATGAGTAGGTAGACCACTAATGTTGTCTTAGTTAAGTTTATAAACAAATAATAATTACTATGTTGCCAGAGGTGCAGTGCAGCTGGGATAAACGAGTGTATGGTAGCATGTTGATAGAGAACGTATTGTTTTAAATGATGGAAACACTAATTTCCCCTACCAGACTGCATGCGTTACTTTAATTCAGAAATCTGGCTTGTCTATCTTGACTTGAAAACCGAGATATATTACACGCAACTTTTCAGATAAGTGAATCCCTTTAGAGCAAGAATAACAAATGTAGCAGAACAACCTGAATTCATTATATTTCGAGCTATACTGGTTGAAACACATCTATGGGAGTTCCACACATTGTTTGGGAATCGGTTAGACTAGAAGCAGAAGACGCAAGGCCCAACTGTAAAGTCAGCTTTGCGCCACCGTTCGTATTATTATCTCCTCATCTTGTCATTCTCATTGATGTATTAACGTGTGGCAAACTGGATCGTTACATCCTTATCCTGAGCCTTTATTTATGGTTGCCTTATCCGTATAGGTTGATCCAAAATCATAGGTTGTTGCACAAATCGTCTGTAGATAAATAACTCAAGTGATGATATTTAGAAAGTTATTGTGGTATAACATCTGTTCTTAGCATCGCACTATTATGTGCTTTCAGTTTCCTATTGTAGCTTATTACTTTTTGGTTCCGTGTTACTAGTAGCATCCGACTCCATGCCTATCTTTTTGTTTCAATGTCAGTTATGGCAACTTGGACCATCATACATCCCCACAGCAATATTGATCATCCACTAATTTGTACCATAGTTGAAGCCATACAGTTTACTTAACCTACTTTATCTTTTCGTTGCCAGATGTTGCCTTTAATTGAAAGAACTGCTGAAAATGTTGGCGAGTATTCCTACTGCCGCAAATGGGAAGGTGGAGTATTCACAAACTCATCGGATGTTTTTCATGACTGTGTGAGGCTACCTGACTTAATTCTTTTTCTCAGTACCTGTAATTCAATCTGCAGACCACATTCTGCTGTACGAGATGCGGCAAAGATGCTCATCCCAACAATTGGTGTAGTTGATACAAATTCGGACCCCAGATTGATTAGCTATCCTGTGCCCGGTAACGACGATAGCCCTACAGCAGTACGTTTGTTTTGTGCGTTATTCGCCGAAGCTATTACAAGGGGCAAAAAGGCCGCTGCTCGAGATCGAGTATTAAAAGAGCAGCTAGACCGCCAGTCTGAGTCATCAGATAGCCTGGGAACATCAGCAATCGCATAATAATAATTTAATCACTGCTCAATAAACTTGTATATGTACATGTATATATATATATATATATTCGACTGATGTGTTCAAAAGAAAATAGCTCTTATACTTTGTCGATTCCTCATCCCTGCTAAATTTCTGTAACAATGATATTGTATGGCACATGTCTGTACAACAATACTAATAATCATTTTAGAAATTCACCAACGCCCTACTACTGGACACCCAATGAGTTCAGTTACAACTGCGAACTGCATTTATCTGACCTATTCAGAAACATTTGTTTACACGTAAGAAAAACTGAGACAATCTTAGCAGCACTGAATACGATTCGATCTTTATTCAGAAAGTAAATACCACTGGTTTTACGTCGACACTCAGCCACTGAATGTTTTGTTCCTTCAATAAACCTATTATTTTGCTTTTTCCATGATTAGATTCACCATCAGTCAACTGGTAATTTCATAAATATATGCAATGCTCCGAAAACCTTATTGATCTAATCATACCGATCCACTCATGTTCGCTCCTTTAAAAGATCAGGATTTACAACACCTGAGCAGTATGGTCTATTTTATAGGACAGTAGTCTACGCCACAGCTAATACAACTTAGCAAAAGCCGAAAGGGTTTTTTAAGTCACTTACTTAACAAAGCCGTCGGGGCTTTCAGAATAATTAATCGTGCTTAGTTACTTTGCTCCCGATAATCGAACTGGGAGAGATGCGCGCGCATACAGACTGCATTAAGCTTACCACATACATAGAAAGTGCAAACATCATTGTACAGCTTACTATTAGCAACTATCAAACGTCCTCTTACTGCCTCCATATTGGTGAACGGCCGTAAGGATGTGTAGTACGTCTAGACATTCAAGTGATCAGAACCTAGTAAGCAAGCTTAGGACCGTAATAACGTAACTGCTTGCCTTAGTGTGTGTATGCCTTAGCAGGCAGTGCTAAGAAAGGAACTTTTGTATGTGGACAACCACGTGGGTTAAACAAATGTACGCATGTCATAAATTTTTATACAAAAGTGTCAGTCAATAGCAACATAGAACTTCGTACGTGCGTTCATCAGTTCGAGTTGCATACTACATTAGCACACAAATACAATTGTTGATTAAAATCTCGTAGTGGTAGAGGTAGTTAGAGTATAAGCTCATTGGTGGTTGGGCATATGTAACACGTCCCAGAGATATAGAAGTGTACGACAGTACGTATCCAGGAAATTCAGTAAACCGCCCAACAGTTACCATCAATGGAACTATTAGCAGATAAAGACGCCTGACAACTATTTCGGACTGACTTTTTGTCAGCCCACATTTAGAGCCGACAGGTGTGATTTTGTTGCTATCTAAATACTAGTGTCGCATTCTGCCTTAGCACGCACATCGCTACCTTAAGAACGACTTGCCAGTGTTTTTTTGTCTGCCTACCCTTACATATATCAATTTTTGCTGTCACTAGCTTCCTAAGCTAAGGTCGAAAGTAGTATTGACATCTATTGGCTCTGAAATTGTATACTTCCGCCTTAACCTTCAATCTAATTGTAAAACACAGCAAGCTGTGTTACTGTTATCTACCTCTAGCACGTCGGTTTACATGTATTGTTTATTAGACTGCAACACTATTATCTCGGGATCACGGAAGAAAACGGTAAATAAGTTTAAAAAACGGGTCGAAAGGGGGCTTTAAATATTGAAATGTAATAGTTTAGTAGTTCGACAGTAAAGACGACTAGTCTATTAGATAGTCTCAGAAGTTCTAGTATCTTCAACGCGCCCATGTAAACACCTTCAGTTTAATGTTTTCGACCAAACGATGAGCATTGATCATGTTCTGTGGAACTTCGAATGTTGATTAAGTGGATTTTAACGGTTTGAACATTGGTTTTCAAAAAGCAACCAGTTCGTGAAAGCATATGAGCAAAGATTCATTATTTATCTTGCATTGATCACAAAATAAACTACAAGTCTTCATGGGAGAACAAGAGAAGGGACCGCTAAGTACTTAAGCAGTTGAGTGTGTCAAAACATCTTTACTTCCACTGAATTAACTCACATTTGTTGCGCAGGACGTTTTCGCATTTGTACGGTCAAATCAAATTACTATATGTAAAAAAACAAGTTGAAAGATGTCGAACGAACACCTCACTATGATCATAATAAAGGCAAACTATAATAGCCATTGAGCACGGGAAAAATCTGAACATTAGCACCCCGTAGTTGGAAGTTACGTATTGCTACAAATGCAACACGTTACAGAAATCACTTAGTTAGGGACGCAACACACAGGTGGGGCGTGTGGCATAATTTGAAACTTCCACGGTTCTAGGACATATTTTTGAGAAAGATAAGTACTCAGGCTTTTGCCTTGACATCTATATCACCAGATAGTTAAGTGGTTGGTACTTATCTAATCGTTAGTATACTATCATCCGTATTTGACCTAAAACTACCGTAGTCTCAATAGTTAATCATGTTTGGACATTAGTTTCAGCATTTCTTGGAGATCGTGAGGACTGTTATTACTGACGGTCGCGCAGATACTATGTAATTACCGACCCTAGACTGTTGGCTTTTAGTCACTTCAAAGTAGACGTAACAAGAAACAAAAGGTAAATGACATTTCAGTCTGCTATTGCACCCCGACTGGACTATACACAGGAAAACGTGAATTTGCGATCTAATATGCAGTTTGGCTAATGCATTATTGAGGTAGTCTTCTGACAATTTTGGCAGCAATCATGCTTTAAGCGTACATAGAATAATGTGTAGCAACCACACCAGGTCTCGCCATCAAAATTAAATGCTTGGTATAAGATTTTACTGAGCAACAGGGCATTACTCTAAACCTTCGCAGTTATACAAGTTGTTATTATGCAACAAAAATTTTACAAGTATTCATTCAAAAGGTTAGTACAAAGAATAAAGATTTTGGATTAAATAACACACAAAGATAAGTATTCTATAATTCTAACTTGATAAACTACAGATCACAAATATTTAACCGGGTGAGTCAACCACCCCGTATGTGCAAGTATGTTACCACAAATGGCTGGAAGAAACTCAGACACATAAATGCGACCATTTTTACAGCCAGTCTTTCAGGGTTATCAATCTTGATTGGTGCCAACAACTCACCAGGTTTGCCCTCGTGATCCATGTTGTCCATTGCTTTTTGGACCTCATTAACAAATGCAGGTTTTTCACGGTGTTTGCTCAAAAGTCCGAAATATCGTGCACTAACCTATAATTAAAAGGTAATGAACAGGCTGTGCGAACGTACTCTTAGTGCCATTTTGAATCTTGCGCTGTATTAACGATTAAGTATTGATATAACAGAACTTATGTACTCAAAATTTCATGTATCACTGATAACTACATTGACAACTTAGATAAACAAGATAACTATATTCTGCGAAATACTGATTAAAGTCAAACTGCATCTTGCATAGTTAACAATCTGCATGTTATTTTGTAATCTCATCCTCAGATCTCGAACATCGATCTTGTTCTTTTCAATTATTAAGTCGAATGACGTAAAAGACATTTCAGGCCACTAAGCAGATCTGTAAAATCTTCAAATTTAGTAAACATATTCAGAAAAATTCTTAGAATTAGATATGTGGTAGTTGGTACTATATTAAGTCCACAGAAATTTTTCTGAATCGGTCAGTTCACTCATTCTTCTCATACCACATTTTGCCCTTGTTGGTCATTCACTTGTTAGCGCTGGCTGTTTTCATGTGATCTTACGCGTTTTAGTTACTCGACCTATATATTAAGCGTCTGTAACTTATTTCAGGTCTAACTATAAATATTCAGTTACGCTTGATCTAATAAAGTTAGCACACTCGCCTTCTCCACATCGTTTCATTTGGTCTCTCTGATTGTTTGTCTAGATATGACAGTGCACGAAATATGCGTTTTCATAAGTTATTCTCGTATTCGGCATGTCTTATCACGTTATTCTCTAACGCGAGTTGGGTCGATAGTTATATACGAGGGTTAACACCATGTATATTTCGATGACAATCATCATATGTTCTGATTGAAGTCAGATACCGGGGCGTCAAAGATCCAGTTTAGGAACTGATTCAATGAGACACAGGAACTCGTGTCACATAAATTTTAATTCACTTGACTGAACCGTATGTTATTTTGAATAAAAGTTTGGACAATTTAAAGCTTAGATATGTCAGACTGTTCGTTATCTCTCTGACTTAAATATGGATCAAGTAATAATGACATAGGCGACAGTCTGGGTCACTAATAGTCGTTGAGAGAAGAAAAATATTCTATTGACCAGTGCTATATCCGTAAGATGATTCGTTTCCATATTTTTAGCCTGATAGAAGACATTTAATGAGTAATTTTGTATTTAATTCATTCTTTCTGAATGGCCGACTATATGCCTGTTTAGTGAGCTGATGAGATTCGAACTGAAAAAAATGAATATCATTTTCACTCGAAGAAGAATAATGGTTTAAAACATAAAATCATTCAATCAGGAAGGAAAATACGAAATACCCAAAGTGTGCAGAAGGATTCTAAAAGTATTTACTTTTCTCCAAATTAAGTACATTTATATTTCGTCTGATAAGTGAGTGAGGTTGAATTGAGTTTGATCTGATTAGTAAGGATCTGAGCTCGTCGTTTTTGAAAAGTGTTTTTCTATGATAAATATCTGAATAGTTTAGAGATGCAGTCTAACTCTGATAAAAGAGTATTTGTGAAGAATGATAGATGACTATTTACTTCCTCTCAATATCAAGGTAACTAAAGAACTAATCAAAACAGACAAGTTACAACCACCTACCGATTCAGAATTAGCGGTGTTATGTTTAGTTGAGAATTCATTCATTTGGATGGCTGATTGAGTATACTTATGATGTTTGCCAGTGCCCATGGTAAGTAATAATTTGCATTTATAAATGGCGAAGTTAAAGAGCAAATTTTGGTAAGTTTTATGACTAAAATTCACGAGATTTCTAGCAACGAATCCAAATAAGGTGGTGATCATTACAATATTTTTATTTGGGTGACAAGACATACGTCATTCTTGAAACGTCTTAAGGCTTCGTTCGTAACAAGAGCAATAACATCGGGCCATTTAGTTGCAGCTAAGTTTAGGCTACCTTTTTATCGAACAATGATGAGTAGCCACATTTAGTCGTCATCTTCGGTTCAACTGTGAGAGATATCATACAAGATAGTGTAAATGCTTGAAGCCTTGAAAATGTGTATTTATACAGATCCGTATGCTAACCACTAATATAGTTAATAGATAACTCGAGCTGATAGCATAGTAAAATAACTCTGTATTGAAGAGCTGTTTGCGATAGCTGATCTAAATCTGGATTTTTAAATTGGCTAACCTGCGTCTTGTCCATCCACATGATACCGATCATTAAAGCATCTAACTTATCTATTCTGAAGAGTGCTGGCTTAACCACTCAATCGTTTTCAATAAACAGTAGACAAAATACTAGTTGGTTCATTAGAACGTACTTTTCAGGGTGTATAAGATGAAATGGACAAGCCTGAAAAAGATTATGAGCACTTAAAGAAAGTAAGAAATCTACCAGTTTGATGTTATGTTATTGGAAGGGAGGCTATATTTCTTTGTCCATGTTGTTTATTAAGCATTACAATCAAATAACGTAGAAA